GATGAAAGCCTTCTTACACTTCCTCGTGCAAGTAGCGTTTTTAGAGTCGCTAGAAAGTTAGTRGTATTTAATTTATGCTGTAAAACAAGGAAGTACACCATAGTTCCATACAAAATGTACTCTTTTAATCCTCTTTATTTTATTAAAATAGCTTACATATTCATATTATGATATTGTTTTTTCTTTAATTTATTCATTCCATTATTGATTGKTATAACATCTCACACTAACGATGGCAGTAGACACGTGCACTGCCGAAACATGTAAAAATCAAAGATGTCTTACTCAAAATATATGATTATAAAATAAAATATGTATATTGGCTTCATACCAGTCTATTGTTTTAATTTATCGATCGTAACCATAAATAGAAGACCATAGAAATCAAAGTTTCTACCAGATTGTCTGATACGAAATCTTTACCCTTTTTGCATTTCTGGTCATGCCGTCATAACACAGCAGGCACAAAATAGTGAAAAAAGTGATCATAGAAAAGTATTCTTCTCATATGTAAACTGCTTTCAAAATACATGGACATGTGCCTACATATATACTACACTCAGCAAATTGGTATCAAATCGTCTATAAATTAATCATTACGGTTAAATAACATGCTTGATTTCCCCTAACGTCTATAAAGTCAGTATGACAGCTGCATTGCTACATGAAGGGTACTCGGTRTCAYAGACCTTGCAAACAATGAACATTCTATTACACTGTAATAGTGACGTCATCWCCAATGAGAAAGAAGGCAGCCCAGTRCATTGGCTCCTTGTATTYCTCKGTTTCTMTCATATCCTTCATTGCTTGCTGTAGACTCCTACTGGCACTCTCTCCTTTCTTTAGGTGTGAATAGAATTTCACCATAAAGAACATAGTAGCTTGGTCATCAATGGCCCACAAGGACGCTACAACGGCACGGGCTCCTGCAGCAAGAAATGCTCGAGTCATWCCAACTACWCCTTCTGCTTTGATCTCRCCTCGACCACTATGGCAACAGCTGAGTACAACAAGTTTGGCACGAACWCCACTTTCCTGTGCTTCCTTCATTGTCAAGATGTAGTCCTTCTCTTCTGGGGTAGCTGTGCTCGATGGTGAAGGTTTAGAAGGGGYCAGGAAAATCTCTCCATTTCTTGCACTGCCATGAGCAGCAAAGTGAATAACAGAYACACCATGTTGTAGTTTGCTTAAAACAGCTTCTTTTGTTGCCTTCTCTCCTATCAATGRTTCTACTCCGAGTAGTTTTCCGATCTCTATGGCTTCCTCTCTTGCACCAGACAAAGGATAGATATCTCTCTTTATCCCTCTATACATGACTTCACCGACGGCAGGATCTCCAATGATCAGTGCACCCGACTAAAGAATAACAAAGCTATCATTAAACTGCATGACTAAAAGAAACATAAGAAATAATAATATATTTTTTATCTAGACGAGGCAATCTTATAGGTTTTTATAAGTCAACGACGTTTTGGACATCTCAAATGCCGTTTTGACGGTTTTTACGAAGCACAATTTAAGCTTTTGCTGATCAATCAATGTATCGTTAATGAAACGAAGCTATAAAGAAAGAAAGCTTGTATATACACCTATTTCAAAAAACGTTGTCTTCACCACGACACAGTCCACAGTCTTAAGCCTGCAACGAATCTCGGGGTTTCCTAGTCTCTTTTAACAGCCGCGACTTCCGGTCTCGTCATATTTGAGGAAATTTGACGAGATCGGAAGTCGCGGCTGTTAAAAGAGACTAATATTCGCTTCGAGACAGAGAGTATTCCAGTTTCGAATTCTCCAATGCTCTGTGTTAGCCTCATTTGTGCGCAATATATTCGTAATTGTGAGAATAAAAGTGTGAGATTTCAAATCAATTCTATTGTCTCTTTTCAAATTCCATGCGTTTTCTCGGGCTATCAATAAAACAAAAGAATATGCTGCTTGGTTTTAAACCAGAACTCTAATTATTTATGGTAA